CTGCATTAACATAAAATAGGACATCTCTCAACCATGTTCTCTCTTGAATCATCTAGACCTTAATGACTGCCTCCCTTGAATGTGACCCTTTTAAGGTTGGCTGCAGCCCTGCCTTCCACATATAGTTATCAGTGGTGAAGACAGATGAGGAGCCCTGGATAGACAAAAAGAGCCATCCCATTTGGGCAACCAATGTCCATCACTTGTTCAACAGGGCTTAAGACCAATCCAGAGCAGGTTCTCACCATGTTGATTAGAAGAAAGAAAGGACATTGATTGAAATGGACCATTGGTTTTGTATTGTTACAGTCTCAAAAGCCCTGAAAGGAGGCAAGCATTGCCATGATAAGTAGTGTCTGATATGTGGCACAGAGCTTGCGGAGGGGTGGTATGACTGCCCTAGTGCCCTCAGCAGGGTGAGGGCAGGAGACCCCAGAATAAAGGATGTCTGCAGACACAAATACCTCTTTCAAGTGCTCTCCACTAGAGGTGGCTCCTTGGTCTGACCAGTCAGGGACGAGCCCACATACTGGCTCACATGGTGAGCTCCAGACCACGGATCCATGCTGGACAGTGGTAGCCCAGAGCACTGAACTCATCCTGTGTCTGATACTAGTGAAAATCACTCTCAAACCAGTGAAGAAGCATCCTTCGGTGGACCAAACTTAGGAGATCCCATGAAATAAATAATGCCCCATCCAGTGGCAGCTTTGTCTCCCAAAGTTGCACTCTAGGAACTGGCAGGGCCACCCAGTCCTAGGCCACCCTACAGGTGCTAGTCCCAGAGATCCTGGGGTACTTGTGGACCCCAAGTATGGTAAGATGGCAGTATGGTCAGGAGGGCCTGAATGGAAGAAATAAAGGAGGCAATAACATTTTTTCTAGGCTTAGGGTGTCCCACCCAACAGGTCCTGTTGACCTGGCTGGTCCCCACCACCAAGAGCAATAGAACATCTTAGAACTTCCATTGTCCAGGACCTACATGGTACTATATTTTGGCTCCAGGAGTCCTGCTGGATGGTCCAAGACACCCGAGGGGAATTAGGGCATCTCAAGGAAGGCCAGGTGCAGGACCAGGTTAAGAGCCCTGGTTGCCCAGGTCTAAGAGCAGTATTGATTTTGACTTCTGAACTAAGTAACAGAAAAGCTACTCTGAGGAAAGAATAATGTGTATAGCAAAGAGACAGAGAAAGTGTGCTGCTTGAATACAGGATAGTTTCTTTTAGGCTCTTTCTGGAACTACTGCACTCCTGCTCTGGCATTCCATCAAACATCACCTTCCCTTTATAATATGCTCACCCTTCTTGTTATTTAAGTCATTTTATGTTTATTTTTGTTACTTGCAAGCAGAGTAAGCCCTATTACAATATTTAGAGCCAGATTCTTAGCTTTGTAGGTTCAGAAACTCAACTTTACGACTTCCACCAGAGCTATTTCCTGGGGACCAACATGTTAAGAGGACCCATAAACAACTGATAGGCATTTCAGGATGCCAATTTATTAATCTAAAAAGAGAGCTTAATCCAGAAGAATAACTCGTATGGATAAATTCACTCTGGGTATTTCACCATGGAAGGTTAAGTATGTTCAGGAGAGGAGACAAATTATTAGAGGGCTGTTTGGTGAGCATATAATCAGAATAAAAAGAATGGGTAGATTTTTTCTTTCAAATTAGGATAGCTGGAAGAAATTCCTTCTGTAGAAATATTCCTCTTTGAAAACTCAGCTATAGTCCTTGAACTCAAATAACCTCTTCTGACCATTATCAGATGTATTCATGCATATTGTTCATTGTTATCCCAGACTTAGTATAGAGCGTTTTTCTCTTGACACATAATTCTCCCAGAAAAATTTTACTAACTACAGTTAGTACAGTTGAATAACTGTTGTTGCATCAACTGCATGTCATTTACCAGCTCTGGCATCTATTATTCCTATTGACACCATCAAGTCACTACCTTCTCCCTACTCCCAAGGGTGATCACTATCCAAGATTAGTTTTGCTGCTTTTGAATTTCATGTAAATGGAATCATATAGCATATGCCATTTTGTGTCTGGCTTCTTTTTCAATTAAGACTGTATTTGTGAGTGAAATAAATACTGTTCAATAATGTGATTGTAATTTGTTATTCTTGTTACTGTATATAGCATTCCAACTGTGTAAATATGTGACTATTTATTTATCCAGGCTACCACTGCTAAGCAATTGAGAAGCTTCCAGTTTGGGCTATTTTGAATAGTACAGCTATGAACATTATTGTATACATCTTCAGTGAACATTATGTGCATTCCTGTTGGGAATATGCCTAAGAATGGAATTTCAGGGTCATAAGTGTATAAAAATGTTCAGATTAATAGATTCCGACATTTTCCAAAGTAGGTGTATCAACTAATACTTCCACCAGCAATGTATGGGAATTTCACTTGCTGTACATGCTTTCCGACACTTAGTGTTGTATGAATTTTTCATTTAAGTCAGTTTGATGAATGCATAATGGTATCACATGGTTTTAATTTGCATTCCTCTGATTTGTGGTACCAACCAAAACATAGTAAGCCCACAATAACCTATCCTTCCTAATGATTACAGTGAGAAACTCAAGAAAAAAATACCAAAAGCAACTACCTGAAGACTCTGGAAAAACAAACAAACAAACAAACAAACAAAAACAGGTAAACTGGAGTGGAAAGTGAAAACCTGGAGAAATATTCTGTGTATTTGCTTTTTCTCTTTTCTCACAGCTTTTGACTTGAGGCCTGACACCTAGTGAAACTATGGTGGCAGCAAAAACTGACAGAAACCTGTATTTCTTGCCAGATGAATGGGGTTAGAAGGCTTTTGTGGGACAGAAGTTATTGGGGGGAATACTTAATTTTTTTACATTTCTCTCTCTCTCTCTCTCTCTCTCTCTCTCTTTCTCTCTCTCGGCATTGTCCCAAGAGTGAGGGACTAGGCTTGGACATCTAAATACTAAAAGAAGCTCTGTTTTTCTGGACAAAGGAAGTGGGAAAGGAGGCCTTTGTGGTTTGAAGAGTTGTAGAGGGAATCCACATTTTTTCCTCTCTCTTTTCTCTCACTACTTTGTCTCAGAATCTGCCCTAGTCATCTGCTACGCCAGGTGGCTACAACTCCAAGAGGAACCTCATATTTCTGGCCAGAGGATCTTGCAAGACAAAGGGAGAGGAATGTAAGAGCAGAGAGCTAGAGAAGAGGATCCCCTAATTCTATGTATGAACCCATACAGTTCTGTGTTCACACCTAAACTGAACATGTGCAGGACAGACACAAAATAGCATAGCAAAACTGAATTTCACATTAAACTATTGCTAACATCCCTAAATAATCACTCAGTGTTGTAGGTATAGGATAGACCCAAAGCAGCATAACAAAGCCTTTGAAAACCCAGCTGATATGGAACCAGTACTCATAGAAGATGAGACTGAACTTTTGACCTGAAACAAATTCAATCAATTGCCTCCTAAAACAAAATAAAAAGCAACATTCCTCAAAGCTGTTTAACAGGACTCAGTCTATGCAACATAATATTCAAAATGTCCTGGATAAAATCTATAATTACACAGCATAAAAGAAATGGAAAAATGTGCCCAACTTGCAAGGGAAGAATAATCAATATCTGCCAACTCCAAGATAACCAAAATGTTATAATACAGATTTTAAAGCAACAATTATAACTAGAAAGTAGTTGAACGATTCCTCTCCTAAATATAGTCACACTTGCATAAAGACATTTCAGTCAATGATGAATCACATATACAAAGGTAGTCCTGTAAGATTATAATACCATATTTTTACCGTACCTTTTTTATTTTTAGATACACAAATACTGTGTTACAATTGCCTACAGTATTTAGCACAACAAAATGTTATACAGGTTTGTAGCTTAGCTGCAATAGGCTATACCATATAGCCTAGGTGTATGGTAGGCTCTATCTGCTAGGCCTGTGTAAGTACATTCTATGATATTCAGACAACAGCAAAATTGAGGAAGGTGGCATTTCTCAGAACATATCCCTATCATTAAGTGAGGCATGACTGTATATGCTGTATTCTAAAAAATATATTGTATTTATATATTATAATCTATGCATAAGAATGCTCATACTAGGGTTGTTTGTAAAACCAAGTCTGGTAAACAGAAGGAATAAACTGTCACAAGGAGTATTACCAGTATACATCAGTGAAAATAACAGAACTACACCTATACACTTCCACATGCCATTACCTAGGATTAATTTAGAAGCATAATGCTGCATGAACAAAAAAGAGTCCATAACCAACTATGCTGATACAGCTCATCAAATTAAACATACATGTATGTTAGGTTCTGAAAGGAAGGCCAATGTTAAAGAAAGAGAAGGTGGCTTAACAGCAAACGCAGGCTTTATAACCAGCATACAACTTACAGAGGTGGGAAACCAGCTTAATGCCAGTGCCCACTGCTACTTACAGGCTGGGGTGATTTACAGGCCTAGGTTGGAGTGGTCTGGGGGCCCATGGCCTGCTGCATGGGAAAATGTCCAAAAGTGTTCCCAGGACGTGGTGTTCTTTGCACTTTCTCCCGGCAGAATATAATAAGAGGCAGGCTGTTTTTCACCACCTCGTGGAATGTTTCAATTTGACTAAGGCCTGTAAAATGGCAAGGGGGGCTTACAAAAATGGTGCAGTTTGGACTAACAATGTACATAAATTAAATTTTTAAAAAGCAAGAAAATAAATCCCAAATATGGGAAAATATTATCTCTGGAAGAAAGTAATGGGATGGAATCAGGAAAGACACTGGTAATTTAAACAATGGTGGCAATATCTCAGTTTTTAAATTACCAGTTGGTTCCCACGTATATGTTGCTTACTTATCTGTTACACCTATTCATGTATTTTAAAAAAAGGTTTCTAAACGATATCCTATGTGTATGAAATAACAGAATTCTTGTGCCTTAGTAAAATAATTTCTCTAAAAACTCTTGGAGACAAACGAACCTCACGCCCCTGAATTGATCAGTCACTTCCGCCTCCACCTTTCCAGCTCCGCCTATGGAAGCGGAAGTACTTTACTCTAGGGTCCTCCCACCTGTAGGGGGCTCTCCGAGGCTTCTAGTGCCACGAAGGCCTCCTGCCTGGGTTGTCCTTGTGGCGCCTGTTAGTTTAGTCCTAAAAAAGGTATTTGTATTTTAACTTTTTCATCTAAGAAATAATAGCGCAGGCCTCTTAGTCTGGACAACAATGTTCAAGCTGATTTCCTGACCAGTGCCTTCATTGTCAAACCCTGACGCAGTAGTAGGCGGGAGTCAGGCGGTGTCGGGACAGCCCCGAGTTGCCGAAAGTCCCCGGCCCGCTTTCTCCCGTGAAGACATAGCTGCGGGTGGCTGTGCTGGTGGCGTTCAAGATGTCGACCAAGAATTTCCGAGTCAGTGATGGGGACTGGATTTGCCCTGACAAAAAGTGAGTTCAAGAAGGGTCCTGAATTGAGGCGAAGTTTATTAGTGGAGGCTTTCCCAGTTCCGTTGGGTATTTTCTTTTTTCTGTGATTTCCCGTGCCTTAAGAAGGGTTGAGGCGGCGAACCGCCAGTTCCTGGGCGGGAGGAAGGCTCCCCGTCTCCTCATGAGTGAGGTCTTTCCCGGAGTCTTTGTTTTAGATCTGTCTCCAGCGTTTCCTCGACATTACCTCTCCAAGGTGGCCTCTCTTTAGAGTGCGAGATGGCCTACCTTTTTGCCCCCACACCCCACCCCCGCCCCGGCCAGGTTTCAGCGATAGGAAATCTCTCCGTCAGGCCAGCTTGGTGTTAGATCTCCCCCACGTGACTTTTCCCTGCAGAACTTTATTCTTGTTCACGGAAAATAGTGCTTTCTCGCACTCGTCCGTTTGCCTCTTATAGTTCACCTTGTTTTGTATTTTTACTCAAACTTTTCCTCCGTAGTATTTTTCCCGTTTCCCCAAGCTCTACCTCTCTTTGGTTTGGGAAATTCTGACCATTTTCTTTGTCGATCATTAATTTCTCCACAAGAATTGGGCTTTTCCCCTCCTTAGAGCCGAAAAGGAGAGAAGAGGCCTGTGTTTTTGCCTGTTCAGCCCTTAAGATGCCTGCAGCAGTGAAGCACATGTGTTAGTGGCTCTGCTTTTTGACATCGTTGCGGAAGCCAATGTACTCTGTTAAATTGTTAATCAGATTTTTTTTGAAGGGTGCACAAATAGGTGTATCTATTCAGAAATAACATGGAAAATAATTTAATGTACAACTCATGTTCAGATAAAAACTTTTATTTCTTGTACCTAAATTAGCCATAAAGGTGTTTTGATTGTAAACAGCAAAAACTTTGGAACAAACCTGGGTTTAATTAAAATTCTATTACTATTTAACTGCTAAAAAATAGGAATAGAATTGCTCTTTTATAATTAATACATAAAATAACTGGATACGGTATGCAAACAGTGACGAATTCTAATTGGTAGCTATTGATAGTAATTTGATATTAAGATGACCTGAAGGAATAGTTCAAGCCTAACAAATGATATTGAATAGAACCAAAGTTATATGTTGTGAATAACATTGCTCTGAGTGGAAAGACAATATTGAAAACGTTCAAAAGAACAACAGCTGCTGACTTTTGTTGTTACCTGTAAAATAATGTGCTTTTGTCAATGTCTTTAATGACAGCACAGGTAGATATTTGAGGTAGGAATCAAGGAGAGTGCATTTTAACTCATTTACAAATATATGAATAAAATGTTGCTTGTACAAGATGTGTAAATCCAGGAGATATTTTCAGAGTATATTTTCCATACTTAATGGAGTCATAAGGAATATTTTTAGGGGAAAAACTTAGCCTAAACGTTATTTAGAGTGTTGCATCACATATTTCACATCTGTGTTGTATTCTAGTATAAGACTTTAAAAATCAGCCTTTAAAAATTTAAGTGTGTACCGTGCACTACTGAGGTCATGTGAGTGAACCAGTAATTCTTTAGGTTTGAGTTCGTTGAGCATAAGCATAAAGTCATGCCGTACTATGTGAGTTGATTGGTTTTGGTGGTTGTGTCACTTTTCTCAGGTTGGAGAAATGCCCTGTAAAACTCAGTTTACTTACAATTATAGAACGTTTTTCTGTTTTTAGTCACTACAACCTATCATCTTTGATTCCTTACCATTCTACCTGCTACCTGCAAAAAGATAATTCCAGTAAGATCCATGAGGCCCTCCTTGATTTGTAGGGTTTATTCCTCATTCGTCCACTCCTAGAGTTTAAAACTCGCTAATACCTTGTAAGTAATTACTGAAGTAAACTCACTTCCAACTTTATAAAGAGATTATAACTAATGATATATGCTAATGTGAGGACTTGAGGGAAAGATCCTAAGTAATGTAACCAAGACCACATAACTGGTAAATGGTAGATTGGGATTTCTAAATTGTGAGGAGTTTTTTGGTAGGTAACATTGACATTAACATGACTAAGATGGATTAGAAGTTCTGGATTCCAGATATGTAGTGAGGACACATTAAAATGCAAGATTTTACAAATTTAAATTTTTATAAATGCTTTTTATTCTATTTCAGATGTGGAAATGTAAACTTCGCTAGAAGAACCAGTTGTAATCGATGTGGTCGGGGTAAGTATTTAAGGAAGAGTCTGTTTATACTGTATATACTTCATTTCTTTGTTTCTCCATGTTCATCTTTCATGATTTTTCTGTTTTCAGAGAAGACAACTGAGGCCAAGATGATGAAAGCTGGGGGCACTGAAATAGGAAAGACACTTGCAGAAAAGAGCCGAGGCCTATTTAGTGCCAATGACTGGCAGTGTAAAACGTATGTGTTTTGAATTGTCTGCTCTTTATTCCAAAATAATAGATCTGGCCATTACTTGTTTATGTTACCAGCTCTAATTAGCCACATTGACAAACCAGGGTAACCCTTTAAATCAAAAGTTTGTTGATTGTTATTCAGTCTCATCTTTAAGTGTAATATAAAGACATTTTTAATTATTCTTTGCATTTTTGAATGGTAATAGTTGTTACTATGATGGATTGTATATGCCGGTAAACAAATACTTATGGTGAGCTAACAGCCAGTTGCAGGGTGGCAGTACTTAAAAGTACTAAGGCCTACTTCTTTGTTATTGAAAAATTCCCCAAATTTTTAGACTGTATTGTTAGTGTGAAATACACCACAAAACTTATTTTACCTGTTTACAAAATGATGTCAGAGTCATAAGTTGTGTGCCATAAGTAATTATTCCTAATTATAGGTAGGTTTCATAATGATTTTTATTTTCAGGTTTAGATTTAATCCAATTCTTTATTGATTTTTCCAACTTCCATCTTTTCTCTATGCAGATGAATCCCATGGGTTTGAAAGAGGACTAAATCAGAAAAGAGTATTAAATAAATTTGCCTTTTGTTCGTTTGTATTTTTTGTTTCATGTTTTTTGTTTTTGAGATGGGGTCCCAGTCAGCCACCCACGCTGGAGTGCTGTGGGGCAATCTCAGCTCACTGTAACCTCTACCTTCCGGGCTCAAGCAGTCGTCCTACCTCAGCCTCCTGAGTAGCTTGGGACCACAGGCGCACCACCATGCCTGGCTCATTTTTTGTAGTTTTGGTAGAGACAATTTTACCGTGTTGCCCAGGATTCGAACTCCTAAGCTCAAGCATTCTGCCTGTCTTGGCCTCCCAAAGTGCTGGGATTACAGGCAAGGCATGAGCCACTATTCCCGACAAGAAAGTCTTAAATAATTTCTGATCTGCTAGATTATAAATTTGTATTGGAAAGTTTCCAGCAAGAGATTTGGTCACTGGATTTGGTATGCTGTGGAATTCAGTGCTTGAAGTGATTCCTCAAAAAAAAAAAAAAATTAACATTATGTATAGGATATAACCATACTCTTTAAGGTAAATTCAGAGACTGAGAAATTATTGGAACCTTTAATTTAAAGTGATATTTTTTCATAAGGCATCAGAATTTCTATACTGGTTCAGTATCACTTACCTGAAATGTTCGTGGGCTCAGCATCCCTAATCTGAAAATCTGAAATGCTACAGTGAGCATTTCTATTGAGTGTCATGTCCTCTTCCAAAAAGTTTTAGATTTTGGAAACTTTTTGAATTTTGGATTTGTGGATTAGTGATACTTGACCTGTGGTTATAGTTGATCGTTTAATTCTCAAAATTACAAAGGCACTTCATACAGCATAAATTTTGCTTCTCTGGTTAAATGGTTCACTTTGTTGTTGAAACCCACATTTACTCTTCAGACCATTGTACATTTTCTTTGTTTACATTACCACTTAGTAAACATTTCTTTATGATAGTTTCATTGTAGTTTTTATTTTAAAATTCTAAAATATCTAAAAATATGATATTTACCTATGTTATAGCCTGCTAATTTGATATTTTTCACTTCTAAAGTTGCAGCAATGTGAATTGGGCCAGAAGATCAGAGTGTAATATGTGTAATACTCCAAAGTATGCTAAATTAGAAGAAAGAACAGGTACGGCACAACCACATTTTAACTAAGTAATTTTTTTTAAAGAACTAAATGTTGAAACAATAATTGTGTCACCTTCGATTAAAAGCACAGTAAGTGAGGATTTTGTGTATTCTGCACTGAATGTTTCTTACTGGGGTTTTCTCCCCCATTACACATACAAATTTTTTGTTTCACAATTTATAAAATAACAGTATTAAAGACCTCTACCCTAACAAGGAGAGTCATAATACTTTTAGAATATTCTCCTCCTTTCCCTTACAGTGGTTTACCTGTTTGTTGTTAGTAATGATGTAATGATATCATTTTTTAATTCTTTTTATAGCCTGCTGTGACTTAAAGGGCAAAGCCACACTATTTAAAGTTCTTCTAAAGCTTAGGCAATAATTCTGAAACTTAGCTATGTGTTAGGATCATCTGAGAAACTTTTTAAAATACAGATTGTAAAGTGCAGAACTGTTAAAGTTATTTGGCGGTAAGTTTCCAAAATCTTCAGGTTGTTTGGATGGTGTTTAGTAATCATTGGCCTAAATAATAGCTGATAACTGTGTGTGTTACTGGTGAGATGAA